TGCTCTTCGGTTTCCGAGGAGTCACTGGAGTCTGTCGTGACATGGCCTTCCTCTTCCATGTCTTCCGACACAGGTTCATGAGACTGCACTGCATCTTGCAAGACAGAAGAGGTTTCCATTTGTTTCTGATGACCATCACCTGCATGCTCAGGCTCAGACCGACCAGCTGCAGACACAAGTCCTGCACCTTCTGCGCCAATAACGGCCTGCTCAATAGGCCCCACACCTGGTTTCAACCTGCCGCTTCTCGTGTTGTCAGGCTCAAAGATTCCTTCTCGAATCTCTCTCAACACTTGTGCAAGTATTGCCAAAGGTCTAACTGCTGCATCTCTGCTGTAAACAAGTGCAATGCGCATCTTATTTGAGTGATAACCGAGGGTCAGACGGTCTTCAACTGAAACTCCACGCTTTGCCAGAAAGGAAAGACATGTGCACTTGCAAGAGTGACTGGTCAACTTGGTTTCAGACGACACTAGATCTCCTAAGAGGTGCCTGATCCAAAGCTTGGCCTCCTGCGTCGAGATTGGCCTCTTCGTTGGTTCCAAATTCCTGTCAGGAGCCGGCATCAAAGGGAAAAAACCCAGGTCAACTATCCGCAACCCTTCTCTAGCTTGCAGCCACTGTAAAGCCCAGTTGTCCGTAGTGACTCCATGTGCTGGTGCTGAAATAGGCAAAAACATGTGACGCAAGTGGAAAGCTCTTGCAGTTTTGTGTACAGCTGTTTGCAACTCAATTGACTGAAGCTCCCCACAGTCGTCCCTATCTGGAACGATCTCCGATGCGTGTTGAGCGTCCGCCCATCTTGAACGTCCATATATGCAAAACAGTAACATCCCTGCCATTGCTTTGTCCCACAGTTCATCCCCATCACGAAGCACATCATGAAGTCGCTGTAACTGTTTCACAGTAAAAGGAGCAGCTTGCTTAGGTCCACACAGAGTCCTCTGAGATGCGGCCCCCAGACATCGACGGCTGGTCACTATTGACTGTAAAACATCCAGACCCAAAACATGCCGTGAAAACACTGCAGCTTCGAAGAATGCCTTTAACCTGGACGGTGGTGCCATCTTACTTGCCTCTGCTTTCAAGAAACTGTAAAAAGCCTCTTCAGTACAAGGAAAATTCAAGCCCACTGCACGAAGTCCAGAACAAATGCCATTCAAACTGTTTGCACGTTTGATCAGCGTCTGAGGAGCCTTATTGTAAAAAACGTCCACCAGAATCTGAGCTTTTTCAGTGAAAGTGTTTTTCCCCTGAATAGCTTGCAAAAGTAAAGAGTCCTCTGCAGTCCACTGATCAAGCAAGGCGACCCACCGTCTGATGCTTGTTTCCCAGAGTGCATCTCGTTCTTCTTGCCAACTGCGCTCTGGCACATCGTTTATATGCTGTAGAAACGAAGTGATCAAAGGAAAAGTTTTCTGTGCAACACGCCTGTCAACTTCCACATCCTCTGAGCTCTTGGCCACATGCACTGGCGGTGCAGACATAGGTCTTTTAAAACCCCTAGATAACTGCTCCATCACTGTAACTTCTGGGTTCAAAAACTGATCCCAAAAATCTGTCTCCCAGGGCATCTTGTAATCCTCTGACCGAAGACTGTGCCACGCTGAACTCACCACAGCATCCACGTTGTATGACTGCTGCAATCCAACACCTGAAAAGTCAGAAGGAAAAGGTAGATCCCCTGAAAAATCTGTAGGCAGAAAAGAAGGTTCATAAGTCAATGACTGAACGTCCTGTTCTGAAGTCCCAATGAAGTCCACGTTGTCCAAGTTCCCAAAAATATCTTGGGTCTCCAGTCTTTCGGCAACGGCCGCAGGCTGAGTCTCCAGACATCCAGTCCCAACATCCATGGCTTCAACTCTCTACCCCCATGCTAAATCTCGCACATCAAATGTGCAAGTCAGAAACCCTCACCTCCCTCCCTAACCTTGAGGCGGGCGCGGAAACACATATTGTTTTACCCCCTCAAAGATTTGTGTTTGGTTTCCAGAAAGTTTTGTTTGACAAAACAGTCTTAGAAATAAATTCAGAGCAAACAAAATTTGTTTGATTCTTTTCTTCAAAACGACAACCTCTGTTTAAACAAAGGACGATCGTTCAGGCGACTTGCCAGGTTGAAGAAAACACAGAACAAAGTCAGGTGTGGGTATCACAGCTTAATTTTTTCCAACACAAAAATTTTTCCTTTTGTTCTCAAATAAAGGAGTCATCATCGCTTTGCAATGAGTTACCCCAGGGAAAGAGTTAGTCAAAGAAAGAGTTAGTCAAAGAAACAGTTAGTCAGGGAAAGAGTTAGTCAAAGAAAGAGTTAGTCAAAAGAAAGAGTTAGTCAAAGAAAGAGTTAGTCAAAGAAACAGTTAGTCAAAGAAAGAGTTAGTCAAAGAAACAGTTAGTCAGGGAAAGAGTTAGTCAAAGAAAGAGTTAGTCAAAGAAAGAGTTAGCCAAAGAAAGAGTTAGTCAAAGAAACAGTTAGTCAGGGAAAGAGTTAGTCAAAGAAAGAGTTAGTCAAAGAAAGAGTTAGTCAAAGAAAGAGTTAGTTAAAGAAACAGTTAGTCAGGGAAAGAGTTAGTCAAAGAAAGAGTTAGTCAAAGAAACAGTTAGTCAGGGAAAGAGTTAGTCAAAGAAAGAGTTAGTGAGGGAAAGAGTTAGTCAAAGACAGAGTTAGTCAGGATATATGAGGTAGTCAAAGAAAGAGTTCGTCAGGGAAAGAGTTAGTCAAAGAAAGAGTTAGTTAGGGCATTGATGGTTCCCGCAATGTAAATGGGGTTGCAAGTGGTGCTGGTGGATGAGTTGCGGATGGAGTTTTGAAGGAAGTCTCGCACGAAATGCGTTTTTGAGAGATAGCAGATGCACGAAACCCTATGTTTTTCCATACAAAGTGCGTCCCCGAACGTCGATGATCTACCTCTGCGGTGCGACGGGTGCGAGACGGTCTCGTGTGTGGTCGGATCATGTTCGGATCATTCTCGGATCATGTTCGGATCGGTTCCGCATTGTAAATGGTGATTCAACTGTTTTTCGTGCATGTGCGGTCGATAGAATTCCATTGTGATTTGCAACTGTAGGATCGTTCCCGCAATGTAAATGGGGTTGCAAGTGGTGCCTGTGGATGAGTTGCAGATGGAGTTTTGAAGGAAGTCTCGCACGAAATGCGTTTTTGAGAGATAGCAGATGCACGAAACCCTATGTTTTTCCATACAAAGTGCGTCCCCCTCCCCGAACGTCTATGACATACCTCTGCTGCGGTTGCGACGGGTGCGATACGGTCTCGTGGGTGGTCGGATCATGTTCGATCTGTTCGGATCCGGTTCGCGCATTGTAACTGGGGTTCAACTGTGTTTTCGTGCATGTGCGGGTGACAGAATTCCATTGTGATTTGGCAACTGTAGGATCGTTCTACCGCAATGTCAATGGGATTGCAAAGTGGTGCTGGTGGATGAGTTTGCCGATGGATTCCAATTGTGAATTTGAACTGTAGGATCGTTCCCGCAATGTAAATGGGATTGCAAGTGGTGCTGGTGGATGAGTTGCCGATGGAATTCCATTGCGATTTGCAACTGTAGGATCCTTCCCGCAATGCAAATGGGATTGCAGGTGTTGCTGGTCGATGAGTTGCCGATGGAATTCCATTGTGATTTGCAACTGTAGGTTCCTTCCCGCAATGCAAATGGGATTGCAAGTGTTGCTGGTGGATGAGTTGCCGATGGAGTTTTGAAGGGAGTCTCGCACGAAATGCGTGTTTTTCTCCATTTTGGCGCTAGTGATTTTCCTTCTAAAGATTCTTGTAAAAAGTGCTTCAAAATCGTCTTTTTTTCGCTTTGGCGTCGAGATCCGGTTTTGGAGCTACAATTTCCGACGCCGTTGCGCGTAGTTCTATTGTGTTTTGCAACTCAGTCCCCGCAGGTCGCATTGTAATGGCTGCGTCCAGGTTGCTTCATGCTGTGGCTGCATGCGTAATACTATTGTCTTTTGCAGCTGGACTTCGTAAATCGTATTGGAGTGGCTGCATGAAGGCTGCGACAGTGATTTGTCATCAGATTTTCTCCATTTTGGCGCTAGTGATTTTCCTTCCAAAAATCCTTTTAAAAAGTGCTTCAAAATCGTCTTTTTTTCGCTCTGGCGTCGAGATCCATCCGGTTTTGGAGCTACAATTTCCGACGCCATTGCGCGTAGTTCTCTTGTGCTTTGCAACTCAGTCTCCGCAGATCGCATTGGAATGGCTGCGTCAAGGTTACTTCTTGCTTTGGCTGCATGCGTAATACTATTGTCTTTTGCAGCTGGATCTCGTAAATCGTCTTGGACTGGCTGCATGAAGGCTGCGAAATGGATTTGTTATGATGGTTTTCTCCATTTTGGCGCTCGTGTTTTTTTGTTGCACGTAGGTTTAGAGCAGTGTGAAGTGTGGGGCGTGAAGAGTGCAGTGTGAAGTGTGCAGTGTGAAGGAAGCAGTGAGAAGTGTGAAGTGTGGAGTGTGAAGTTTAAGTTTGGAGTGCGAAGAGCGCAGTGTGAAGTGTGAAGTGTGAAGTGTGAGGTTTGGAGTGTGAAGGAAGCAGTGAGAAGTGAGAAGTGTGAAGTGTGGAGTTTGCTGAGTGAAGTGTGATTTTTTTCAGATTTTGGCTGCTTGCAAACACCAAAGCTTGGCAAATGCAATTTTCGCGTTTTGGCATCGAGATCCGGTTTTGAAAGCTCGTTTTGTATAGCCTGAGGCAGTGCATGTGTATAGCCTGAGGCAGTGCTGTGTACGAATTGTGCATGTTCCCGCCGCCGTTGTTTGGGTCATGCATGTGAATAAATCGATTCGGTGAGAACACGATCATATATAGCAAGCATGCAACATAGCCATCATATATAACGTCTTACGTGAACAAGTGTCAACAAACATCACGCATGTACACGATACAACCTTGCAACTGCGTAGACTCGCAACGCGTACGTGCGACGTTCTGGTCCGCGGAAGCGTGGGTACGTGCGACGCTGTGGTCCGCGAGGCTATCGCCATGGAATCGTCGCTGTTCGAAGACCTTCTTTGTTTCTTGCAGAAAGAAGAGCTTGTGTTGAAGGCTTTGCGCGCCACGGATTTGAAAGCATGCTTGCGGACAGGGACAGGCACCAGAGGATACGAAGCAAATGCAGAGCGAGCCAAGTATTATAGAATTTACAATAAGATTGAGAAGCAAGTAACGGCTGACCAAAAAGCGACTCTAATGGATTGGGAACGAAGGCTTTGCAGTGAGGCGGAGGACATTGATTTCGCACGTTTGCTTACTATACTTGAAAACCGTGAAGATGACTTGCGACAAATGCAAAAAACAAGTCTCGAAGCATGCTTTAACAGCAACCTGAGCAATACAGACAAGGACTTAAATTTTTGCCGAAATTTCTTCAAGCGCAAAAAAACTAGAATGACAGATGAGCAGCAAAAGGTTGTGGATGAATGGGAGGAGATCATTTGTGCCGATGGTGCGGGGTTATGTCCTGCCATCGATGCAGATTTCGCACGTTTGCTTACTATACTTGAAAACCGTGAAGATGACTTGCGACAAATGCAAAAAACAAGTCTGGAAGCATGTTTCAACAGCAGCCTGAGCAATACAGACAAGGACTTAAAGTTTTGCCGAAATTTCTTCAAGCGCAAAAAAACTAGAATGACAGATGAGCAGCACAAGGTTGTGGATGAATGGGAGGAGATCATTTGTGCCGATGGTGCGGGGTTATGTCCTGCCATCGAGGCAGATTTCGCACGTTTGCTTACTATACTTGAAAACCGTGAAGATGACTTGCGACAAATGCAAAAAACAAGTCTCGAAGCATGCTTTAACAGCAACCTGAGCAATACAGACAAGGACTTAAATTTTTGCCGAAATTTCTTCCAGCGCAAAAAAACTAGAATGACAGATGAACAGCAAAAGGTTGTGGATGAATGGGAGGAGATCATTTGTGCCGATGGTGCGGGGTTATGTCCTGCCATCGATGCAGATTTCGCACGTTTGCTAAGTATACTGGAAACTCGTGAAGATGACTTGCGACAAATGCGAAAACAAGTCTCGAAGCATGTTTCGGGACACGTGTCAGCAATGCAGACAATGATCTTGGTTTTGGACGGAACTTTTTCCGTCGGCGGAAAGATATGTTGACGGATGAGCAGCGCAAGGTTCTTGAGGACTGGTCTGCCAAGATTTGTTCCCATGAGGATGTTGATGACGGTTTTCGGCGCTTCCTTGCAACTTTGCATCCTCGAGCACAGGAGCTGTCTGCCTTGCGCAAATGTGACCTGAAAGGCATCTTTTCGTCCCATATTTGCAAAAAAGATTCGGATTTGAAATTTTGTCAAAACTTTTGGCGGCGCAGCGCAGAAAAATTGAGTCCCGAGCAAAAGGAACAAGTGGAGGATTTGAAAGCAGGAATTCTTTGGCCTCATGCGCAAGACGATCGCGCGGCGTTGCGGCCCGCGGTTGTCAGGATGTTGGACAAATTTGAAAACATACTTGCACGCAGAGAGGCAGAATTTCGCGGCTTTGGGGCTGCAAGTGTTCATGGTCTGTTTACCGGGCACGCGAAGAAATCTGATTCTGAGGTTAGATTTTGTTACGATTTTGTCAGCCGTGTGTTTCCCAAACTGGAAGATTCGGAGCAACAGCGACTTCGAATCAAACTGGATGATCTGTTGTTAAAAAGCTGCTGTGTGCCCGTGAAAAGTAGTTACCAGGCCAAACTACACGATGCAGAGACTGTCTTGGGCGACGCTCTTCCACGCCCAAGACTGCCGAAAAGTTTGCGTCAGCTGTTTGGCAACAGTATGGATGCAGAGGCAAGGATCATGCCTTTTTTGCACCGTGTTCATGAGGTGGATGAGTTCATGGTTTCCTTAAAATTTCAAGACTGTGACTATTGCCACGAAGGATGGTTTGGAAGTGATAGAAAACGCTCTGACTTGCCCGGTGGTTTTGAAACCGAAACCTATAAGAAGACCAATTTCTTGCGTGCGCCTGAGAACCAGTGGCTAGACCCAGCGCGACCGATCTGTCAAAATTGTCTGCGAGAAGCTAAAGGACGCGCTGCGGAGGGCTATCCCAAGGAGCCTTTCCGCTTGACAGGTGCTAACTTCGCAGATCCGGGGCCATCGTTGCCAGAAACCGACGCTTTGAGCTTCTTTGAAGAGGAGATCTTATCGCCAATCCAGCATATTGTCCGCATTTTCACGTTGCACGCAACAGGACAATGTGAGCTCCGCGGTCACGTGGGTAACCTGTTTCAAAATGGCCCACAGTATGTTCGTGACATCCCTGCAGCTGTGGGTGACATGAAGATGCTTCTGATACGGCGGTGTCCCAAGGATCCAAACCGCAAGCAACGAGTGCCTTTCCTTGTATCAAGGCGACGTTTGCAACGTGCTCTTGATCGCCTTTGTCGCACGTTGGAGGAGGATGGTTCTTTGGCTCTCCAGCCCGGAGCACTGACACCCGGCGGCTACGTCGATTTGGTGAAGCGGGGAAACCTCGACCAGTATGCAGACACTGAGGAAGGCGAGGAACCCCATGGTCTGCAAGTTCATGTCGTCGAGCAAAGACCATGGGAGCGCGTGGAGCGCAAGCTGTTCGCTTTGTGGATGTCGTGCTCGCTGGAGTTGCAGATGGCAGCCCAGGTACCTCTTTTGCATGAGCCCGAAGATGTGCAGGATCCGGCGGAGAGGGTGGATGTTCTGTGGAAGAATTTGCGTGCTGCTATGGATGCCAAAGCCCCGGATGTCGTGGGCGGCCCTTCAGACTTGATGTTTACAACGCTGGCTCAATACTTGTCTCTGCAGTTTTCGGATAAAAATGTGCAAGACGTAGCAAACATTTTGCATGATGAACTGACGGCAGTGCAGGAGTTAGCTTCCTGGGAAGAGCCTTTGGTGTCGGATGGCTTGTGGTCGCCTGAAGATGTAGCTGGCCAGCAGACTGAAGCAGAATTGAAGGATGACTTATGGGAGACGATCTGTAAAGCCAACGAAAGCGCCAGCAACAAATCTACAATTCGTCGTTTTGGAGCAGCACGGGTGCAAGGTGTGCCTATTATTCTGGATCCCCCAACCGTAGCATCCAGAAACCAACTAGTTAGGGAAGATCAACCTTATTACATTGTTGCTGGTTTTGTGAAATTGTTTCCACTTGGACAAGGAGATTTTTGGGCGCACTTGCAGCAGCGCCAAGAGGAAAACCAACAGCCGTTGTCCTTCTGGGAGTGGCTGAAGCATTTGCTTTTGCGTTCGGATGGTCGTTTTCAAGCTCACCCACGGTTCTATTTTTTGCTTTGAACACCGCTTTGCGCAACAAGGCTTTGCGTGCCCGGGGATATTTTATGAAGCGCCAGCAGGGGGCCAGCAGCAACGTTGCCTACACTACAGAGGAACTTTTCAACATGGGTAAAGCTCAGTTCACCAAGATTGTGTCAGCTTTCGAACACTCCATGGCCGGTTCAGCGCAGGAGAAGTTGCGAGAACGCAGTGACTTAGAGGCCATGGTGGAGCAGATTGAACAAGAGACGTTGCAAGATCAGGCTCACGCTTTGTTGCAAGCTTGGCGCGAAGCTGAATCTGCTGGAAACATGCTTGAGCAGCAAGGTTTTGGTACTTCTGCTGCAGAAGTGCGAGCCGTGTGCTCCGTTGCAAAAGCTGCGGTTGAGAAGGTCTTGTCGCCAGAAACCGTTGAAGCCCAAGCTAAGCCTTCTGTCTCGTGTGTCGTTGTGGACCGCGAGATGGATGAAGGGCCCCAGCCTGATGTCGCGCGCGTCGTTGCGGACCACGCGGCGGAACCGATGCAGCAGGAAATTGAAGTCAGCCCAGCTGCGGAGGAAGAAAGTGGCTTTGCGTGCTCCAGGGGCCGCTCAGGGCCTAAAACTATTCAAGATTTGTTGTTGGAGGTGCAACAGCGTAGCTTGTGTGTGCAGGGTGGCGGTGAAATCCCATGTCACTTTAGCACTTTGACAACCGCCATTTACCATTGGGATGATTTAGCCGCGTGCTTAGAGCAGTATGAAGTAGCTGTCCTGCAGCAGCGGAACAACAGAGCCGATCCCTTGGAACCAGCAGAACGGCAGTTGTCGTCTGAACGCCGGCGAGTCCTGCGTTACCCCGGTGTGGTCGCCTGGTTCACTGCGTACAAAATGGAGCTCTTTTACAAGCATGTGTTGAGATATGAGGATGGACAGGGTGTGTTCGAATGGGGCGCAGGTGGCATTATGCATTTGCATTCGATCAATTTTGGCTCTTGCATGCCCCGTGTCGATCCAACCGCAGCAGGCATGCAGCAACCGGACGAGAAGAGTGCCGAGATAGCGGCGCAGTTTGCAGAGATGCATGAAGAGCACTTGACGGATTGGAGCCTCAGCAAAGCAGAGAAGTGGACCTTTCATGAGGTGGACAATTGCGCTGCCAGATCTGCTCGTGCAGGGTCACCTTTGCACACAGACTCAGAATCTGATGGCTCCGAGGATATGGAGGATGCGTTGGACGAAAAGTGTGTTCGCCGTAAGGCCCCTGGTGCTGGTTTAGATCTCGGTGCAGCTGCAGATGTGTTTGGGCAGCATGCTGTGGCAGAGGATGTCGATTTTCAACGTGTTTACCCCACAGCAACTACAATGGTGTATGTGCTGTCACAAGGTGCTCGTGTGACACAAGCTTTGACAGAAACAGATCGCAGTTTATTGCGTAGTTTGGATGTTTCTCTCCAAGATCCAACTTGGCACCCCTGTCGAATTTCTGTTGCGCAAAAAGCTTTGCTAATGACCAACAACTGCAGGTTGGTTCGCCACGCTCGTCGCAAATGGTATCGCAGGCTGACGGAGAAATGCAATAGGCATGATCGGCACGGTGGTGCAGGTTTTGAAATTCCGCCTGTTCATGTTGAAGCGAATGTGGACACACAGCCCGAGGAAGAAGAAGGCGCCGAGCCAGAGGCAGAGGTTGTCACGGCGCGGATGCAGCAGTGTCCGCTGCGTGTTGGAACACTGAACATGCACTTGCTGTCGCCGGGTACTTGGCTTGAGGATCTCTTGGACAAGTGCGATGTTCTGTTCTTGCAGGAAGTCACCGCTGAGTGCTTGGAAGATCTTTGCTTGTTGGGACAACAAAACGGTTACGAAGTGGTGTCGCCGCTGTTGCGTGGCCAAACGCCGGAGGAAGGGTTTGATGTGTGTGTTCTGTTGAAGCTTGACGTTTTACAGTCTCGCAGAGTCACGATTTCGCCTTTACCATCCCCTTCTGACAGAAAGCTTTTACAGGTGTATGTCACTCTCCGTGACAATGGGTCAATGCTGTTGGTTGCCACAGCGCATTTCACGTCGGGTTCGAGCATGGTAGCACAAAGGGCTTCGGAACTTCAATCTGTTTTGGCTACTTTGGAAGCATTAAGCAACGTAGACGCTTGTGTTTTCGCTGGTGACTTGAACATGCGTCTGGAAGAAGCCTTGCCAGCAGGTGTGTCTCCAGGCTGGCGAGATGCATGGGAAGAAGATGGAAGCCCGGAAACCCGGTGTGGCACCTGGTGTCCTGAAAGCATGCAAGCGGATGATGCACGTGTGCGTGCGTGGCATTTCGATCGCATTTTGACATTGTGTCAGTTTGGGCACATGGACAAGCCTGGTCCTACGCCGTTACGGGCTGGGACAGAGGCCGCCGAACGGGTTGCTTTCGCCACTGTGGAACTGCAGCCGGGGTCGTTCGATGTTTCATTTCAGTCGCAGGACTTGGATCATGCATTTGTGCAAGCGAAGTTCGAGTTCATGCCTGTGGTTGCCGGTGAGCGCGAACTTGTAGCAGAACGGGTCAAAATCCTGAGGGTCACGGTGGTATTCGGAAACTGGCGAGTGGTATTCGGAAACTGGAGGTGGTATTCGGAAACTGGGATTCGGAAACTGGAAGTGGTATTCGGAAACTGGACAGTGGTATTCGGAAACTGGACAGTGGTATTCGGAAACTCGAAAGTGGTATTCGGAAACTCGAAAGTGGTATTCAGAAACTGGTATTCGGAAATTAGAAACCCTTTATTCGGAAACTGGGAACTGAGTTGTATTCCGAAACTAGAAAATGATAGAAAATGATATTCGGAAACTGGGGGTTGTATTCGGAAACTATTTTTTGGAAACTGGAACCCTGGAATTGGGAAACTTTCGAGACACAACCACAGAAGGCTGATGTGAATTTGCCACCATCCGCTGAGCTCTACAATGGTGATCCCTCATGAAGATAAGTTAAAGTTAAGATCCTGTTCCATATGTTGGCCAGAGGGGGTGACTGTCTTGATCCCTCATGAAGATATGTTCAAGTTAAGACCCTATTCAATATATATTGGCCAGAGAAGGTTGCAGTTTCGATCCCTTATGAAAATGAATCTTGGTTTCTATGCCCAGCAATGTATTGCTCAGAGCGGGTGGCGGTTTTGATGCGTCATGAAGATAAGTTGAAGTTAAGATCCTGTTCCAAATATTGGCCAGAGGGCGTGGTAGCTTTGTTTCCTCATGAAGATAAGTTCAAGGATAGTTCAAAGTAAGATCCAGCTCAATATATTGGCCAGAGGGGGTGGCAGTTTTGATCCCTCATGAAGATAGGTTCAAGTTAAGATTCTATTCAATATATTGGCCAGAGGGGGTGGCAATTTTGCTCTCGTTAAGATCCTATTCAATGTATTGGCCAGAGAGGGTGGCAGTTTTGATCCCTCCTGGACAAAAGTTGAAGCTAAGATCCTATTCAATGTATGGGCCAGAGGGGGTGGCAGTTTTGATCCATCATGAAGATAAGTTCAAGGTAAGATCCAGCTCAATATATTGGCCAGAGGGGGTGGCAGTTTTGATCCCTCATGAAGATAGGTTCAAGTTAAGATTCTATTCAATATATTGGCCAGGGGGGGTGGCAATTTTGCTCTCGTTAAGATCCTATTCAATGTATTGGCCAGAGAGGGTGGCAGTTTTGATCCCTCCTGGGCAAAAGTTGAAGTTAAGATCCTATTCAATGTATGGGCCAGAGGGGGTGGCAGTTTTGATCCATCATGAAGATAAGTTCAAGGTAAGATCCAGCTCAATATATTGGCCAGAGGGGGTGGCAGTTTTGATCCCTCATGAAGATAGGTTCAAGTTAAGATTCTATTCAATCAATTGGCCAGAGGGGGTGGCAATTTTGCTCTCGTTAAGATCCTATTCAATGTATTGGCCAGAGGGCGTGGCAGTTTTGATCCCTCCTGGACAAAAGTTGAAGCTAAGATCCTATTCAATGTATGGGCCAGAGGGGTGGCAGTTTTGATCCATCATGAAGATAAGTTCAAGATAAGATCCAGCTCAATATATTGGCCAGCGGGGGTGGCAGTTTTGATCCCTCATGAAGATAGGTTCAAGTTAAGATTCTATTCAATCAATTGGCCAGAGGGGGTGGCAATTTTGCTCTCGTTAAGATCCGATTCAATGTATTGGCCAGAGGGGGTGGCAGTTTTGATCCCTCCTGGACAAAAGTTGAAGCTAAGATCCTATTCAATGTATGGGCCAGAGGGGGTGGCAGTTTTAAGATCCAGCTCAAAATATTGGCCAGAGGGGGTGGCAGTTTTGATCCCTCATGAAGATAGGTTCAAGTTAAGATTCTATTCAATCAATTGGCCAGAGGGGGTGGCAATTTTGCTCTCGTTAAGATCCGATTCAATGTATTGGCCAGAGGGGGTGGCAGTTTTGATCCCTCCTGGACAAAAGTTGAAGCTAAGATCCTATTCAATGTATGGGCCAGAGGGGTGGCAGTTTTGATCCATCATGAAGATAAGTTCAAGATAAGATCCAGCTCAATATATTGGCCAGCGGGGGTGGCAGTTTTGATCCCTCAGGAAGATAGGTTCAAGTTAAGATTCTATTCAATACATTGGCCAGAGGGGGTGGCAATTTTGCTCTCGTTAAGATCCTATTCAATGTATTGGCCAGAGGGGGTGGCAGTTTTGATCCCTCCTGGACAAAAGTTGAAGCTAAGATCCTATTCAATGTATGGGCCAGAGGGGGTGGCAGTTTTGATGCGTCATGAAGATAAGTTGAAGTTAAGATCCTGTTCCAAATATTGGCCAGAGGGCGTGGTAGCTTTGTTTCCTCATGAAGATAGGTTCAAGTTAAGGTTCTATTCAATCAATTGGCCAGAGGGGGTGGCAATTTTGCTCTCGTTAAGATCCTATTCAATGTATTGGCCAGAGGGGGTGGCAGTTTTGATCCCTCCTGGACAAAAGTTGAAGCTAAGATCCTATTCAATGTATGGGCCAGAGGGGGTGGCAGTTTTGATCCATCATGAAGATAAGT